AAAGGAAAAGGAACCAGCGCCGGACGGGGCGGGCCAGGGGCACCGGACGCTGCGGGGGGGGGGGGGCCGGGACGGGGGGCCGGGGGGGGGGGGGGCGCAACCCTGACCCCGGGACCCCCTGGGGCCCCCCAGGACTCCCCAGGACCTCCCGGGACCCCCGGATCGGGCGGGGGGAGGCGCTGCGACCCCGCGCGACATCGTGAGCCTGAGCCGGGGGCGCGGCGGGGCCGGCGGGGGGCGACGGACCCGGGTCCCGGGGGGTCCCGGGGGGTCCCGTGTGTCCCCCACGGCGCGGGGACCCCCCGGGCCCGGGGTCGGTGCTGCCGCTGGGGGGCGCCCTCACCGCCCCGGCCCGCGGGGGAACAACGGGGCTTGGCCCCGCCCACCGCTCAACGGCCCCGCCCTCCCCGGGGCGCGGAGGGGGCGTGTCCGTCGGTGCGCACGCGCGTGGCCGTTCCCACCATGAGGGCGGGGAGGGGGCGTGTCCTCCCCTTTTGCCCGTCGCGCCGGGAACCGCTCTCCGTGACGTCACTTGCGCGCGCCGGCGGCGCCGGGGCGCACCCGGAAGCGGCGCCGGGCCTGGGGGGTCCCAGGGGGTCCCGGGGACCTCTGGGGATCCCCTGGGAGGCCCCGGGGCCGCCATGGCGGGGGCGGCGGCGCTGCAGGTGCTCCGCCAGGGCGTTTGGGCCTCGCTGACCGGCGGCTGCTTCCTGGACCCGCAGCTCGGCGCCTTCGCCAACTGCGTCCGGCTCTACGTGTGGCTGTTCCTGCTCGGGCTGCCCCTTGGGCTCTATTCGGTGCGGGGAAGGGGCCAGAAAGGGGCTTTGGGGACCCTCGGGCTCCGCTGGGGGCCGGGTGTGGTCCCGGGGGACCTGACCCCTCCGTTTGCAGGCGCTGCCGCCCACCCCCGCCGTGGCCGCTCTGTACTGCGGAGTCGTGGCCGCGTTCTTCGGGGCCGTCAAGGCCGTGACGTTCCGGCTCCACGCACAGCTCGACCGGGGGGGCTTCCAGGGGGACCCCGAGGGGGGGG